ACAAGGTCTTTCTAAAGGTTTCTCCAACAAAAGGTGTGATGCGATTCGGCAAGAAAGGGAAGCTTAGTGCAAAATATGTGGGTCCGTATGAAATTCTCCAGCGTGTGGGAAAAGTGGCTTACAAATTGGCTTTGCCATGGAGTTCGAGAAAATGCATGATGTGTTCCACATTTCCCAATTGAAGAATTATGTGCCTAATGAAACCCATGTTTTGCAGCGAGAGACTATTCAACTAGATGAGTCTCTAACTTATGAAGAAAGACCGGTCAAGATACTAGATCACAAGGTGCATAGTACTAGAACCAAAGATGTGAAGATAGTGAGTGTACTTTGGTCGAACCAGGAGTACGAACAGGCTAGGGAGGCCGAGGAAGAGATGAGAAACAAGTATCCCGAGTTGTTTGACGAGGTGAGTTACGAGGGCGTAACTCTTTTCTTTTGAGGGGGGTAGAATGCGATGTAAATTCGCGCTTTTACCTCAATTATACCATTTATTGCTTGAATTTTCGTGTTTTTGGTTATCATTATGCACTATTATTGCGATTAAATACAATGCCAAGTATGAGTTCATTGAGTACAAAGTTCAGTTTGTTAAGTATACTTGTTAAGGAGCAAGCAATTTACAGCAGTACAAAACATAAAAGTTTGAACAGTTTTGGGAGAAATTATGATTTTTGGGTTAAGTTTTAAGGGCGAAACTTCTTTTAAGAGGGGTAGATTGTAATCCCCATATTTTTCTAATATAATTATTTATTATTTTTACAATATTTTAATTTTAATTTTATGGTATGAATTATTTTGATGTAAAAGTAATAAGATTTTCATTATTAGTAAACTAAAACTATTAAGTTTTAATTTAAATCATAAGTCTTTTTAAGTTAGTAGTCCAATGCTTAAATTCTACTCAAGCCCAAAACACACAATTCCTACTCCTAATAAAATTAGGAAACTAAAGCCCAAATAAAAATACAAAAACCCTCACCTCTTTCTCCTCTCTACTACGTGAAACAGGAAGAAGAAAAAAAAAAAAAACCCTCACCTTCTTTCTCCTTCTCTGCTATTCACGACTTCACAAGTAAAAAAAAAAAAAAAGGGAGAAGCTTTGAATTGCGCAGCACCACCGAAACCACAGCCACCACCGCCAACCGCACCTCCGGCCACCGACGGACCAGCCGCCCCCCTGCAGTTCGCACTCCTTCTTCCTCCCTTGTAATCACTTCTTTTATTTTGTTATTTTGATTTAAAGCTTCAATTTTTATTTGATTTCAATTCTAAATTATTGTTATTATGGTTTGATAGTATGTTTAAATTATAAAAGATTATAAATTTATGAGTTTTAGCATGTTTAAATTATTATATAAAATTTCAGATTATATATGATGTATAATTTAGGGTTTAAACATTCATTTTTCATGTTTTAGGGCTTGAAAACGTGCTAATCAAGTTATCTAATTATACTATATTTAAATTTTGTTAAAGTATAATTATTTTGATCATATATAAATTTTCAGATTATTAAAGTTTCGATTTTTATAAGCAAGCTATGTTAATTTCATGTTTTTATGTTTCTAAGCCTACAAAATAATTATTAGGAAAAATACACTTTAATAATCCTAACTATGGGGCATTTACCTACAACAATCCCAACTACGGTTTATTTTTTAACAATCCTAACTATGACCTGAGTTTGCCTCCAACAGACCCAACCGGTCAACACCAAGTCAACGACTTGTTGTAGCAGGTAACTAATACACGTGTCAACACGTGATTGGTCTAAAATAAAAAAAAATAAAAATAAATAAAAAATAAAAAAAAAAAACAAAAACCCTTAACAGCCACCACCGTGAAACCCAAGGGCCAAACCATAGCCCATCGGAAACAGCTGGCCACCTCCCCTAACCCCTGAAAACAGCCGGGCGGCCTGCTCTAACCCCAGAAACCGGCGCTGGAGTTGGTTGCGGCGTTCGTGTTGATTATTGGGTGGTGGAGTTGCGGCGAACCTATTTAATATCGGGTGGTGGAGGTTGCGTCGCGGAGGGAGGGGTTGGTTTCATGTTGCTGCTGCGATTGGTGGGTAGAAATTGATGTAAAATGTGGTTAGTGGAGGTCGAATTGATTTTTCGAGGATCGTGGTTTTGGGTTTGATGCGACTACTGCTGCTGTTGTTGCTACGATTGTTGCTGCTGTTGTTGCGGCGACCAGGCGGCGACGCGAGTCGTTTGGGGTTGGTGTGGGGTGGACTGTGGTTGGTGGTTGGTGGGGGTTGGGAGGGCCTCCTGGTGGTTTTATTTAAATCGATTTTTCGGCGAAGGAGTTGGAAGGGAGGAGAGTGGTTTAGGGGGTTGGGGTCGATCGGGGGTGTATGTTTCGAGGGTAGGGAGGGCCGACCGGCCATTTTCGGGAGGCTAGGGAGGTGGTCGGCCGGTTCCGATTGGCTGTGGGTGGCTGGGAACGGCGGTGGTTGGCTGGGTTGGTTGAATTCAATTTCTGTTTTTTTTTCTTTGTTTTTTGTTTTTTTTGTTTTGTTTTTTTTTTTTAAATTAAGCCAATCATGTGTTGACATGTGGCATTTAAAAAACAAAAAAAAAATACCCTTTTAACAGGTAGCCGGTTTTTAGGACTGTTGGAGGAAAACTGATCTAATAGTTAAGATTGTTAAAAAATAAACTTTAGCTGGGATTGTTTGTAGGTAAATCGCCCATAGTTGGGATTATTAAAGTGAATTTTTCCTAATTATTATGGGTATTTTATGATTAAAAAAGCTTTGAACTTTAAATTCTAACCTTAAAAATAATTTTCAGATTTCATACTTTTTATTTTGAAGCCTCTAATTACATTGAATTGATATATTTTTGGGTTTTTAACACACTAACTTGCTATATAATGATTATTTCAAGTAATTATGCTCATGGGGTTATTTTATATATGTAAACCAAATTTTCAAATTTATTTACTTACTTTAAAGTTGTTGTAATTTGATATTAAACACTATATTTTCGTAATTTTAACATATAAACTTATTGTTGGGATGTTATATTATTAACTTTGACTATTGGGGACAATTTAAATGCTTTATTTTTTGATGATTTAAGAGGTTTTAAAGTAGTTTAGTATTGCTGTAAATTTATTTGCTTGGGTATTGATTTATTTCTCATTGTTTGGTTTGGGAGAGGACTTTGTAGAAGGCGACTTCTAGTTTTAAAGTGGCCGACCGAATTGTTTACAAAAGGTACGTACAAGTTACGAAACCTTGCTTGTAGGTGCATGTTTAAGGACGGATTGAGAACTTAGTATCATGTATAGGATTGACTGGGTTAAATCATTTGGTTATACATTGTGAATTTCAAATGATGTGCACTATTTTATAATGCAAGTATTATTTGTGCTCTAATTATGCAATGTGCACTTAGAGGCAAAGGTATGTGATTGGTGTAAAGATTAATTTATTACTCATTCATGATTATGCAAACAGGATGAGTAAAGGAAGAATTTTAGTCTTATAAGGTAGTAAAGGAATAAATAATAAATGTTGTTTGTCACTAATAAATCAAGAATTTAAATTGGGAATTTGCCTCGTTTGATTGAATTGTGTTTGGAATGTTTGTATTGTAATGCATATGAGTCATCACCAAGTCTAAGCCTGTAAATCACGTAAAGTGCAAGATGGATGAGCAATAAAACTCTGGATTGGTGCACATCGGGAGTAATGACAATCAGGGGTTGGGGTACATGGGGTATTAACCCGTGTACTTTTATCGAGGCTGTCTGATCTACGAGTCTCCTATTTCAAATATTATGTTTTTTTAAAACTAGGAGTTAGGTGAGATCTCATACTAACTACGGTCACGGAGTCGCGCCCTTGGTCGTTGGATGTTTATTGATGTTTCCAAAGGAGGCATGGGGTTTTTCTTTTATTGATGTTCCAAATGGGACATGGGTTGCACAACCTTGTCTATTGCTAAATCCAATGAAATAAATAAATGAGTTAGTTAATATCAACTAGTGAGGTCTTAATAAATTTGATAATTGAGTCTGTATTTAATGATGCTTATGCTTGATTATTAGTAGCATGTTAGGTATTTTCTTAATTTTATTTCGGAGTTTGTAGGTACTCAGCTTTGCTGATTGCGTGCTTTTGTGTGTCTTTCTTTGGTCATGGCCTTCGTCTTTCAATGACCCCGTGACAATCCAATTTTTACACTTGTAATATTGGGGTGCAGATTAACCACATGTTCTTACACATGCAGCATCGATTTCTAGATGGTGGGATCTTGAGTGGAGAGTTGGTTACTTTTTTATTTTATTTACTATTTACATTTAAAGCTATTTAAACTCAACTTTGCTTTCATACTATTTCGATTGGTTTCAGTTTTGAATAAGGGTCTTAAGGGTTCCAAGTTGTAAGATTTAATTTGGTTTTGAAACTTATTTTGTTTTAGTTTTTCCGCTGCAATTTTCTGAAAAAGCCTTAACGTTTGAACACGTGGCGGTAGCACGCCAGTAATTCTCTTGAAATTGTTCATGTTATTCACAGGTTTTTAAGAGAGAATTATTGGGGTGTTACACCACATGTAATAGAGTATTCTTTACAGCCCACCAGGTATTGGAGCAACTATTAGCTCAAGATATCGTTCTTTATCCTCCACAAAAAAAATTGACGAAAGGGGAAAAAAGACACATTTTCTCAAAAAAGTTATCAGGTGATACATACAAGTCTAGCCCATCCATAGAAAGATTTCTTATTTTCCATCATATGTGATGATATGCATGTTCCATATAGTAAATCCATCATTTACGATTTACTCCCAAGGTTGTTTTATAAATAAATCATTATGATTCCACTATCTCAAGTCCGATGAGTTTAGACAATTGTTTTGAGCATGTAACTGGTCTATAAATGAGCAGTTTCTTAAATCCACACTCTAAGGATTTCCACTATAAATTAGCGAAAACATGCACCACTATCACTTCATGGGCCTAGAAAGGAAATGAATGTGTACCTTAAAACTTCTTTAAAGTGATCTGCACATTCCTTGCATGGATACATCCGTGATAAAATTGTCATCTGCAAGCAGCATAGATTTTTATATTCTTAGGCCAATAGTCAGTGGGAGAACAAAAAATTACAATGGACAAGAAATAATATATAATTCATGCATAAATAACAGCCACTTTTTTTTTTGTTTTGGAATTGTTAATAAAAGTGATCACAAAACATTAAGTAGTAATATTTATTACTATGCCTAAGATATCCATCTAAAATGACTCATGGATGAGAGAAATCGGGAGGTAGAACTACCACCTATGATAATCTAGTGATATCATATTAAAAATTTATATTATATTAAAGAAGGATTTACCGAACAAAGGTAGTTAGAAACAATAACATAATAAAGACCAAGGATACCGTATTCACTAATCTCCCCATGAACTACAATTTAAAATGTTGTATAGTTGAATACTTTTGGACAATTTCAACAAGTGAGAATGGCATTGTTGTACCTAGAGTTGGCAATTCTTAACCTAATATGATCTCAAATTGAAATTACTAAATAGATCCTGAACCCTGCCACGATTTAACCCAACAAGCTAAGAAACACACACAATGCATGCATGTGCAATATAAGAAACCTATTAAGCTCTCTCTCTCTTCCTCTCTCTCTCTCTCTCTTCCTCTCTCTCGATGTAAATTAATTTTTAAAAATAAGATTGTTATACAAAAAAATAATAAAAAAAATTGAGAATAATAGGTTTTTTTATTAAAAAAATTAAAAAAAATCAAAAAAAAAAATTGAGAATAGTAGTTTATTTAAAAAAGAAAATTGTTAAGAAAGGGCATTTTAGGAAAGAGAAATTTATCACCCAAAACCCCTATGCTCTTTGTATACTACTTCCTTTGTTCTTTTTTACTTGACCTGTTTCTTTAATCACGCTTGTCAATGCAAAACTTTAACGATTAATAACTTTAATTCTCCATGATTAAAAAATATAAAATTATATATTATGATAGTACTTATTGAGGCGAATTCAAAATGATCCAACATAAATATGTTTTTCCTTACATATTATTCAAAAAACACGGTCAAATGAGGGGTGGTGAATAGTGTAAAAGTCAAAGCGGGTCAAGTAAAAAAGAACGGAGGAAGTATTATAAATTACGGCCTGTTCTCATTGACTGAACTGAACTTAACGTATTAATTAGTGATTTTTTACAACTGATTAGTGATCTTTGATTTTTTTATTATTATACATATGTGTATATACAAATATACTACCTCCGTTTATTATTACTTGCAACTTTTACTATTTTTGGTTGCTTCCTATTAGTTGCAACCTTTCCAAATATTTCCACTTATAGTAAGTGTTTTATGGTAAAATGTCAATATTACCCTTACTTAAAAAATTAAACATTCACTTAGAGAAATAGTTAAATCACATTAGAATGCTAATCTGATTCCACTCATATAACCACTCCCACCAAAAATTAAATCATTGCCCCACCTACCAAATTAAATGCGTTTGATTAAATCAACAATTCATCAGATATGATGAATTGATACCCTAGTTCTTGAATGTTCATCTTCATCAACTAAGTTTTTCTCTCTCCTCTCTTCCTCCTTGAACAACGCCCCCCACTCTCATTCTCTCTCCTCTAATTCTTTTTCTCTCTCCTCTTGAATAGATCTTGCATCCTTGTTTCTCCTCTCTTCCTCCTTCTTGAATGGATCTATCTCCTCTGCACCAAGCCCTTTTCGCGAGTAATGATGAAATTGAGCAGGGTTTCATAATGGCTCTCATCGATGCTTTTGAAGAACGGGCTATCTGGCCTAATTTGTTCTTTATGTCGGGTAAAGGTGGCGAAATTTTCAGCTAACGAACCTTCGCTGCGATTGGGTTAGTAATTAGATCTATTGAAGATGAGGAAGCCGCTCAGAAAATAACTCCGGTTGGCTCGAATATTGGGGAAGGGGAGGTGGAATCCGAACCTGTTGAGGTTGCCGGATTGCCTGGGTCGGGTTGTTCTTCACAGCAACTCAGTTCTATTTGTGAGAACAAAGCTGGTTCGACTTCGGATGATTCAAAAATAGTTGGATCTGTTTCTCAATTAGGGGCAAACACTGGTTTGGGTCGTGCTAGCACAACCAGACCTTCTAACTACCCTAAGATGGTTCATGTCTTCTCTCGTAGACGAATGAGAAGAATGTATAAGCTTGGTGCTAAGATACAACCAATTGAAGACGATGATGATGATAAACATGAGTCCCGCCCAATTGTTGGTGAATCTAATGATGCCCCTGAGAGTAAGCGAATGAAATTTGGCCTTCCTACTGATTGACAAGCTTTCGGTAAAAACTTCTGATCCATAAATTTTCGTTTTTTTTTTTTTAATTTCTATTTAAAAGTTTTAATGTACTTGATGATTGGTGAAGTGTTATTTGTGTGAATGACAATGGATGCCAGCAACACATGTTGCTGGCAGGGTGGTAGATTATGTTGTTGTTGCTGCTGTTATGATGTGATTATGCTGATGTTGCTATTGTTGGTTGATTTGGTTGATAGATGATTGGTGAAGTGCTGTTAGTGAATGAGTCCCTGCCATTGTTGTTGTTATGGTGTGATTATGATTGGTGAGGTGTTGTTGCTCTGATGATGTGATTATGATTTTTGAAGTGTTGTTGTTGTTGTTACGATGTGATTATGAGTCCCTGCCATTGTTGCTTATGCTATTTAAAATTTGCTTACACTTGAATGCATGTTGCCTCATGCCTAATGTATTGCATATAAGGGACTGTTATTGATGAATGATGTGTATGAGCAAATTTACATGTTGTTCTCGATGACAATATTTGAGAGAACACTCTGTTAGCAAGTCAGTATGTTGTGCATTGAGTCCCTCAACTGCTCCTATTTTTGTCCCTCCTTGTTGCCTATTCAGTCCCTTTTATGTGTATTTGTCCCTAGTGGAATGAGTCCCTAATTCAGATTATTATGCTCATTAGTAATCCACGTGATGAAGAGACTCAATTGATTAAAAGTGGTCCAAACTATGGGTTGCTCCAGTTTTTGTGTTGTGCACTAACTGTTGAGGTAACATGGTTTGGGCTTCTTTTTTTTGAGAAAAATGACACCCTCTGATGGATAATGCCCCTTTTGTTTTGTAAATGTGCATAAAAAAAACATGGCTTATATCATACAAATACTACTAAGAAGACTTCATACCAATTTCAAAGTAGCTACACCTTGAGTCCCTTCACAAAATGTCTTCTAACATGACTGCCATAGACAAAAAATTGCAACATACAAAAGTACACATAACCAAAGTTAATTAAAATAACTTACAAACCCATTATATCAACAAAATGTTGGTTATGTGTGGCAGTCCCTGTTTGCTACTGGCAGACCTTCTCTAATCTGCATCCACTTCTAGCTGACCCATCTGAGTTCCTTCCTGGTTCTGTTCTGATGAAAACGGTGTTGAGGTAGCTGACTGATTGGTTTATGAGGGCTTGGCTGACCTCCAATTGTTCTGGTAACAACCCAAGTCTTTGTAGTTTACGCTTCCCCATATGTGGAATCTTGTATTTGTTCCCTTCCTCTTGTTTGAGTATTTCAACCATACATGTTTGCAATGTTATCCAAGTGTACTTGTTGACTATTGGTGGAAATGCAACATAAGCCTCTTTGACCTTCTCTATCATTTCATCCAAGTTTGTGGGAAAAGATTGGTATTGTAAGGATTGAATAACTCTGAACAAACCCAAATCCAGCACATTTAGGTCAGGAGATTGTGCTGGTTGGAACACAATTCTGATGTTGAACCCCCCTTGAGTAGTGGATGCAATGAACTCTTCGTCATGTGGCACTTGATGTGGCCTAGCGTTATCCCATTGGATAACCACATCCTTTGGCATGTTTGCCGGCCATTTGCTTACAATGGTTGGTATCACATTGTTCAACAACATTTCCCTAATTGCTTCTCTGTTAATGTTTTGAATTGCCTTTGTTTCAATTGTTCCAGCTTCTCTATTTTTACTTTTTTTCTTTGCCTTTTGATGAAAAACAAAGGGAAATATTCCATATTTCCCATCATGAATCAAATGGCCTCGTGCATCATACAAGGGCTTTCCGATCATGCCCATGAACATGGCTTTTATCTTGAACCTTCTTGATTGATCTTCTTCCTTGGGCAGAAGATTAAAATCTTCTGGTTTTCGGGTTTATGTAAAACCACTTTTCATCAATATGAATCATATTGCTCATGGCTTCAAAGGTTGGATTTGTAGTGGTTGTTGCTGGTTGTATGTGTGACAAAACCCACCTAAGCCTTGCTATTTTGTGATCTGATGTTGGCTTGTTTGTACTAGTATGTGTTCTGAGAATTCCCTCTGTTTCAATTTGTGGAGGGTGACATGAGAAATTCCAAGTGCACTAGCATAACTTCTCTCAGTTGTTCTGAGGTATAATGGTACTGACCTTCTGTGTACTGCCTTGCTTTTGGTCCACACTTGCCTAATTTTTTGCTCTCGACGTCAATAACAATCCCTTCACTCAATTGCTTGCATATTTCTTGAAATAATCTTGTTGTTGTTGACTTGTGAATCCCAAAGTGCCTTGCAAATCTGGATAAAGTACCTCTTGGTAATGTGCCATTGTGCATAAGTGCTAGCATTTCATCCACAATCTGTCTTTTCTTTGCAATTCCAAGTTCAGGCCTTTTTGTTCGTACAATAGGCTCATGTTGGCCTTGTGCCATAAATTCTAACTCTGCATCAGAATCTGAATCTTCTTGCATTTCTTCATTTAGTAGTTGGTCTATGCTGAAAAACCCACCATCAATTTCCTCTGCTATATTTCTGGTTTTTTGTTTTTTTTTTTTTTTATTCTACATAATACAGGAGTAGAAGAAAGAGTTTTTTTTTGGATGATGTGCTGTAGTAGAAGAATGCTGCCAAAGCTCAGATGGAACAATGAAGGCCTTTTTTTTTTTCTTAGTAGTTGAAAAATATGGGTCTGTAATATTTTGGTGACTTAAATTAGTGAGGAAACATGGTGTGTAAATTTTTGGTGAACATTAGAAAGAAAAAGAGGGAGAAAAACTGAAATGAGTGGATGTATTTATATGCCCCTTTATTATTGAACCCATGCTTTTGTAATGGAGGGAAACTTTATATCCCAAAATGTCTGAAAAATAAGAAATTTTTAAAGGAGGCCAAAATTTAGGAAGCAAAAAGGAGGGAAAAGTAACCCCACCCAAAAAAATCCGGGACTCACTCCCTCCTTTTTTAGGGGTTAAGCTGGTCCCCCCACCTTCTCTCTCCACATTAGCACATGCATAACTTTTTACTAAACACAATTTGAAAATTTTGCCTTGGGGTCCGTGTTCACCCCCAAAGTTGCAAGTAATAATTAACGGAGGTAGTACATATTTAAATATTTAAGAAAAATATATTATATAATTAAAATATTTATGGAAAATTTAGTAATAACATAAAACCCCAGAACATTTTAAAAACATATACTATTTAATTAAAAAATAAAATTAGTTTAAGTTGTGTAGTACTCTCATTTTCTCAATGAGTTTAACAGTAAAAATGTGTATCAAAAAAATATAACCGTTTGAACAATGAATAGTATCAATATTATTATTATTATTATTATTATTATTATTATTATTATTATTATTTGGAAAAATTGCTTCCATTAATATGAATTTTGCCTCGTCCGTCCAAATTAATCTGTACTTTTGATTATTATCTATCACTCCCAACTTTAGGGGTAATTAATTTCTATTGCACCCAATCCAACCTGATATAGCAGGTTACCGATACACGTGTCAGCCTATCATTGGCTATAAAAAAAAAAACAAAAACCAAACCACCCATGCCCAGCCCGGAAAACACCACACCCCCACCCCTATCCCGCCGAAAAATCGGCCCCATCCCCAAAAACCCCTCCCCCGCTGCCGGAAACCGCCGCCGAGCCAACCCTTCCCTTCCCCCACCCCCGAAAACCCCTCCCCAGAAGCCCAGCCACTTGCGAAAACCCATCCCCACCCTCGAAAACCCCTCCCCAGCAGCCAGCCATGAAATCGGCCAAAAACCGCCAAAATCGGCGACAATCAGCCACGACATCGGCGACATTCAGCCACGATATTGGCCGGTTTAGGGTATTCGGCCCCAACGTCGGCATAAATATCATTTTATTATGCAGCATATCATTACTCATTGTTTTCTAATTATATTCGCTCGGAAGATGGGGGGAGGGAGAGGTGTAGCAAATTTGGTGACATTGGTGCAGGCAAAATCATTTAGATACACAGCTAAATATTGCCAAAGTAGGAGCATATCATTACTCGTGTTCCTATTTGCTCAAGGGTGGGAGGGGGAGAGTGGTTTATCAAAAAGAACCTCAAGTAATCATGGAATCAAATCAGTCATAATTTTCCCTCATGCACAGTATTTAACATTTCACTGCCTTTTTGTTTGTTCACCTACTGTGCTCAGAAACACCATATAGAAGCCAAGGGAGCAAAATAATAAAGACATGAAAGTACTATGTGGGTGTGATGGGGTCCAAAAACCAATAATTCAACCTCCTACAAATTCTCTTGAGCGATTCATTCATTAACATTCAAACAAATTCCAAATAGAACATGTGGAAGGCAATGCAACTTACCAGTTCTTTCACATCCTTCTTTTGCTGCCTAGTTGGGTGCTCTGGATACTAGAGAAAAAAAAAAATTGGAATTCATGTCACTCTACAGTGAAAGTAATAAATTCAAAAAAGCATATTACCTATTAACAGTTGATTACAATTCTTTTATTTGCTTAAGTAAGGGAAAAGATAAAAATAAAATGTCACCTTCCTTAGAACCTGTGAATCACGAAGAGAAAGTACAAGTGCACAGATAAAGAATTAAAGATGCTTGTCATGACAAGAAGAAGAGTACCTGAGCCGCAAGAGTGTGAAGAAATGTCCAGGTGGACCTTCCAATAGGGGTGTACAAAAACTGGACCGGACCTGAAACCGGACCTGAACCGACCTGATCCGGACCGGACCTGACCCGGACCTGTTGATTCAGGTCCGGTCCCGGTCCTTAAAAATCAAGGTTCCCGGTTCCGGTCCGGACCCGGTCTAAACCCGGGGTTTTCAGGTCCGGACCTGAAACCCGGAAAAATTGTATTTTTAAAAAAAAAAAAAATAAAAAAAATAAAAAAAAATTAAAATAATGCTTGACAGCTTGAGGCCTTGAGTGACGCTTGAATTCTCTTTCATTTCATTCTAACCCTAACAAACAACAGGCTGTCTCCCCCTCTCCCTCACGCAGTCACGCACTCACGCAAGTCTCAGCCCACCGCGGCAACGCCCACCGCCGACACCTCCTGCCTTCCTCACTCTCTCAGGCGAAGTCCAGGCGCCCACCGACCACCGCATGAGACAGCTACTGCGCGGATTTCGATTTCTCCGGTAAGTTATTTTTTTTTTAATGTAAATCTAAATTATCTAATTATGTTTGGGTATTTTGTATTCGAAATAATGAATTAAGTGTTAGAATTTATATGTTTATTCATGTTTCAATTGCTTATAATGATTATTTGATGTTTGCATGTTGAATTTCTTTTTTTACTTCAATGGTTTCGAATTTATGTTTTTTCTTTTTTGGTTTATTTTCGAATTTTAATAGAACAGGGAATAGAGCAAGATATTACATTGAATTTATTGTCTGTGATTTGATTTTGAGAGCTGAAGGAGTATGATAGAAGGGTAAAAGTAGTGAAATATAGGAGCTGGACAGATGAAAGAGAATACGAGGGTGGTAATTTAGAATTTGAAATCATGAAGTTTTTTTAGTATTGTTGATCTTGGACCTTGGATGTCAAACTAATTGCTGATACTAGGATATTGTTATGATCTTTCTGTAGTGTGTTGTTTATTTAATTGTAGTCTTAATCATCTGACTTTGATTTCCCATTTAGCATTCTAATTTTAAATCACATTATTCCAGGCAATCAATTTTAGTTACCTAGTTCATGTAATGATATAAAAATCGAGAGCAAGCATTTGGTTATTATTCACAGAAATAAAAGAGATTCCTTGTATACAGAGCTAGTAATTTGGGTAAGCAAATCATTAACTAAATTATATGTAAGATGGTGACATATTATGAAAATGGACCAGACCGGGTTGATTCATGAGTTTCGTGTCTAGTTTATCTCAGTGACTTCGCATAGGATTTAAGCCTTGTTGCCGTGTTGGGTGACATATTGCCATTTTCATGCATCATAATTCATAAGTAGCTAAAATGTGTTGCACCAATTGAATTGCTTATTTTTGGCAATCAAATTTTAAACTTACTTAGATGAAATAAATTCTTTGGTGTTAGAGGAGAGTTTTAGATTGTAATGATTACGTGATTTTCATTCTCTTTTTTTTTTTTTTTTTTTTTTTCTTTATAGAAGGTTGGCAGAGAACAAGAGGTGGGAATAATTCTTCCTCTTGTTGCTCCAATGGGCAAAGACTCAGAAGGGTACGTAGTTGTCTATATGAAGTAGTTTACAACTAAGGCCACTCGATCTCATTGACTATCCAGCCTAGTTATTACCTTTGTGGCAATAGGTGCAGATAAGGAGCCTTAACTAGATTGCAAAAGTTTTGAGTTGAATCAGGACATCTTGATGACTGTCATATACCTCATGTTTTGTTTTTCAGTAATTGACAATTTTAATACAGATTAGGATATAAGTAATACTCTAATGCTTAAATGGCATAATCATAACTAGTACATTATATTCTATTTGGTACTTTGTTATTTTGTATGTGGATGTTATCCATCTGATAGGTACATTTTATGATTTCTGAATTCTTTTGACATTCTTGTGCAAATGGGGGTGTTCCTCTTAAGTTCTAAGTGCCGCTACCAAAGGTTGTTTGCAGTTGTTTGTTATCAACAATATCCTACAAGTTTTTTGTTTGCAGTTGTTTGTTATCAACAATATCCTACAAGTTTTTTGTTTGCAGTTGTTTGTTATCAACAATATCCTACAAGTTTTTTGTTTGCAGTTGTTTGTTATTTTTGTTTTTATTCTTGCAGGGAGTGAAGGAAGTCAAGGAACCACGGATTCTTATTCTTGCAATGTAAGTTGCTCTTAAATTTTTTTTATAAAATGGTATGTGTATATAATTGTTACTTTAAAATTACTTATATTGTATATAATTATATTGTAGATGGAGAGCTCTCAATCCAAACGGTCTGCTTCTTTTTCTGAACAAACGTCACAGCCACGTCGGAATCTGCTTTTAGTACGGGAGGTCGTACTCTAGATCCATTTCGGAGTTCTTTGACTCCTAAGGTAATGCATCGTTATCTTTTTATTTTATAAAATCAAGTTTGTTTATATCTTAATATGACTTTGTTTATACATATTTGTGTAATATTTTTGTATTGAAGATGGTTCAAGCGTTACTTTGCACACAAGATTGGCTTAGAGCTAAGGAAGTGCCAATTGTTGATGTGGAAGAAAATTTGAAAGAGTTAGAGGAAATAGAGAAAGGTAGTAATAATTTTATGTATTTGAAATTTTGTTACACCAAATTTATTATTTCATTGTTATCAATCATTAATATATTCTATATTGTATTTTATTTAGAGGTGCAACGTGGTGAATCTAACGATGTAGACGATGAAGTTGTTTTCGTGGACTCATTAGTGTGAATCACGCGATCAAAGGGAAAACAACTCGTTGGAGAATTTATGTATTCCTAGTACTTGAGAGTTGAGAGTTGAGACTTAAGAGAATTTATGTAATTTAATGACTTTTCGTGGACTTATTTGTATTTTCGGTGGACTCATTTGTATTTTTGGTGTTTGAGAATCGGGACTTTATAGACTTTATGTAGTTTTGTAATTGATAATTTTGGTTTGTATGTAATTATTAAATTATGCAACAGGTCTAAAAATCACAAAACAGGTCCATATGCAGGTCCAACAGGTTTTGTATTAAAAAAAAAAAAAAACGAAAAAGACACAAAACAGGTCCATTCAGGTCCAAACCCGGACCGGACCTGATTTTTCAGGTCTGGCCCGGAACCGGACCTGTTAATTCAGGTCCGGTCCCCGGTCCTCATAATTACCCAATTCAGGTCCCCGGTCCAAACAGGTCCGGTCCAGGTCCGGTCCGGTTTTGGACCGGTGTACACCCCTACCTTCCAAGATCCTCCTTCGTTACTGGCTGAGAGGCTTTACCCTATATTAAAGGAGTCAAACCAAACCTAAGAGGAAAGCAATGGGCTTCAGCATTAAAAATAAGCAAACATTGCTTAACATGACCAATGCAATCCACCAAGTCTTAAGCATGCATATGCCTTAAGGTGTTCAAAGGATAAGCAACTTACAAAGAAAGTGACCGATAAAAATACATATAATGGCTTTTCTTTTTTTTTTTTTAATATTTGTTCTCCGTTTTGAAAATGCAAGGAAATAAGAAGTCTAGGATTGCCTTCTCTTAAGGTAGAAAGCTAGCTAATGTAAAAGTACATAATGATATGTTCATTCCCAAATGATATAGACCTTGATAAGGCAAGAAAATGGGACAAAAGATGAATCCACTTGGTTTCAGACTAGGTACAACACAAAGAAACTATTTTCTTTCGTTTTCACAACCAAATAAACTGTTCAGAAGGCCTACAAGAAGATCAAAAAACAAGGGATTGTATAAAAAAATTATGTACAAAAAAAAAAAAAAACAAGAGCATCCTTGAGTGCCGAAGGCATCCTAGGGGTGATCTCATAGTTCCTATGGGATGGAGAAGATGGGTTCGGTCCATGGATTATCCTTCCTTTTGCCGCATTTACTCAAAGGGCTGAAAGGGAGATAGTGAAAATATTTGGTTGTGAATGAGCAAGATATTGAGGAATTGACTAAATCCCTATCAACGAATTCCTAAAATTTCAAAGGATGTCAGCAACCCAATCAGCTTCTTTATATACACGACATATGCTGATTTACATTAAAAGGAGTCTGTGAGGTGACACAGTTTTTTCACATTGAATCAAAGATAGACAATTCAACCCTTTCTAAAATCTCACTAACCAAAACAATAGGCAATGCAACAGACCAAATGAATTTCGGCTACATGCAACTTTTTTGATGCCACTAACAATGTGGCCATGTGGGTTCATCCAAACTCCAGAACATCTTCAAACTCTGAAATCAATCTGCTCATTGCTTCCAAGATGGCACAACACATCCATACCTTCCTAATGTAACACATACATAGCATAATTCAAATTCCAATTGATTTTCAGAATTTAGTTTCCTCAATACCTTAATTCCAAATAAATCCCAATACCAAAATTCACTAAAATTCGCAATGCACACAATAACCCCAGCTACTATATTCTCGAAATACAAATAGTAGATGAAGTTTAACACACAAAATTCGAAGTTAGGAGAGCATTTAACAAATGGGTAATTGAATTTGACAAAAGGGTATAACATAATCGTAAAAATCAGATCATAAACAAAGTTTCAAATTGAAATAATAATCTAATAAAATAAAGGGAAAAATACCTTAGCGGAAATGTCAGTAGGGTATGATGAATTTGGCTTATTGGAAGGGGATAGAGAAAGAAGAGGCTTTTCATTGGAAGGTGAAGGGTGAATAGCTAAGCCAGTGAAGGAGAAAAGTTGGGTTTGAATAGAATTTGAAATTCTTTGGAAGGTTTTGAAGATGGGTTCTAACGGATTCTCAGACATGGGTGGAGAGACAGAGGAAGTAAGTCTGAAGACTGAAGAGGGTGAACCAAAATCAGAACTCTAGTCTTCTGTGGTTTAAGATGGAAACCGCGTTCAATTATTTTGATAAACAAAATTTGTTTTTAAATGACAAAATAGTAAATGAAAAAACCTAAATATTTAGAGATCTAGTCAACATGGCATTTTTGTAAATTTATTAAAGACAATGCGAGTATGCGACCTATACTTAATAAAGGGTTGTTAGTTTATTAAAAATTTTGTTATTTATGTTTATCACGATGATAAACTTGTATTTTCTCTACACATGAATTTATGACCCATAAACAAATTATGTTTATCACTTTATCATAATGATAAACTTGTATTTTCTCAACATTTCGTATATGATATGAATTTATGACCCAACATCGCCTGATTCGAAGATTTTTTTTTTTATCTACTAGTTTGTGCCTCGTGCGATGCCCTCGTTGTTTATAGACTTTTAAGATAGAATTATATTATAATTCAATTTGATTAAAAATAAAATTTTAAATTAACTTTTTTTGCTACAAAGTTGATGAGTGACATTTATGTCACTCTTATGGGTAGTATTTAGGTCTTTTTCCTCTTATTTTTCTTAGGTTTTTCCACCTCATTATCCTCTTATGGCTTCTTTTTGTGTTGATGAAAAGTAATGCTTATTTTGATAATCTTTATGCATTATTTTATCATCCCCATGCTCTCGTGAACTTTGGTATCTTCTGCAGGTTCCGTGACGGTCCTATGCACGGTGGGAGGCCCCTTGGCCAAGTATGGAAGCCATGGACAAAGGCAAGAGGAGCAAAAGGGAAGGAGAGGAAGCAAGAAAAGGAAGTGCAAGAGGAGGTGTGGCCGAACCTCTGAAAGGTCCGGTCGAACCTTGGTGTGGTCAAACTTTTGAAAAGTTTGACCGAACCTCCAGGGTGCAGTGAAGGCAGTGTCAAACCAGTTTTCAGCAATTTTGCAGGAGAGGTCGAACCTCAAAAGTTCGACCAAACAAGGATCAGGGAGGTTCGACCGAACCTACACAGGGTTCGACCGAACCTACCCTGAGTCCGACCGAACCTACCCAGAGTTCGGTCGGACCTTTTCCCGATCTCAGCCAATTTTGTACGGACTATTTAAGGTCCTTTTGAGATCGTTTTAAAAAAAAAAAGGAGAAGGAGGACAGTAGCCTAGTTTTCAGAAACCTCTCTTAGTTTGAAACATTCCTTAGGATTAATTTAGCTTAGTTTTCATCAAATCAAATCATTGTATTAGTGAAATTCAAGAATTATTCTCAAAGTTTGGCAATTTGTATTCAACATTTGAAGCTTCAATTAGTAATTTTTCCAACCTTCTTCCTTTTAATTTCAAATTTTATTTGGTATTTGCATGTTATTTAAATCTTCTTAGTTCTTGGTAATTTGTTATTGGATGATAGTTATTTCAATTGTTAACCACTTTTCCCCAATTATTAAAGTATTTAGAACCCTAATTCTTGATTGCATGTTGATAAACATGAGTTGTGAGTAGTTTTCTTGCTAGGGGTTGGGTGAAGCTCGACCTTTTGGGTTAACTATGCAAATGTGGGAGAAGCATTGATGTTTGTATTGCAATTAAATTGATTATATGAGATTTCTTGTTAGTTCCTCATGATAGGTTTAGCTACCCTTGACTAAGGAGCTTGATAGTATGATATGCCTAATTTGACATGGAAGTGTAAATTGAGTACGTCATTACTTATTGTAATTTGATTATGTATCATCTATTGCTAAACTAATGAGGAATCTAAGTTTAGTAGTGTGAGTTGTTTTCTAATTGCATGAGGTTGATTTTACATATAGTCCTTGCTATATCTTGTCTATTTTACTCCCCGTTTGCCTATTTGCCTTGGTTGAGTGGATCTCATTCCCTAGTATCTTTAATTCATTGATTTAGAACCATAGTTTGTTTGTCTTCTTGACGAACTCCAATTCACCAATTGACTTCGAGTTAGCTTAAGTGTAAAGATCTTTGGCAATCATATCCTGTTCCTTGTGGACCGAACTCTTACTTGTCATTATGCTTGGTTTGTAAGGTGTTTGTTAATAAATGTGTTTGATTGAGTGTGGAATGTACGACCGTTCTAACGCCCATCAAAAGTCTATCTATATTTATCTAACGTGGTACGACACTTGGCGAAAAGTTAAAATGATACTACGTATATTAATGTTAGAATAAGTATATGATGTTGGTTTGTGGCCTAATTATAAGTTTTTTATTATTTGGTATTTTATTGAAAATAAAATTCTAAACTAACCATCTTATTTTAAAATTCTATCCTAATTTGAATGAAAATAAAATTTTTAACTAACTTTTTTATCTTATAAAGTTTATCTAAATCTATCTAAGGTGGCGCGACACTTGGCAATTGTTATCTTATAAAGTCTATTTAAATCTATCCAAGGTGGCACGACACTTGGTAAAAAGTTGGAATGTCAAGTGTTGCTATTTCGTAACTTGGCTAAAAATTTAACTTTATATATTAGTTATATGATATATAAAATTATAAAAAATTGAAATTGAATTCAAATTCCATAATTTTTTCATTCACCTATACTTCACTTATCAAAACTTACATGAATTTATATAAACATAATAACCTTTTTAAAACTTATTCCCTCCGTCTTCAATTGTTTTCCCTATAGAAATATCAAATATGTCACCTTATTAAGTTTTGATTGAGTAGAATTAACTAGAGAGAAAAGTGGTGGGACCTAAAAAAAATTGTGAGAGTAAAGTGGTAGTCCTTGTGTACTTTAATATTATAAAGCAATCTTAAATGGATGACTTTAATAGGAAATTGGGTCAAACAAAAAGCAATCTTTAATGGATGACTCCCTCAGTCCCCTTTTGTTTGCTCCATGATACAAAAAAGTGGTGGGGTTAGTATAGTAATTGTGAGATAAAAGGTTTGATCCCTACAACCAAAAGTAGTATGAGGTAAACTTAAAGGGACTGACTAAAAAGAAAAATGGGACAAATATAAAAGGACATAGATACTAGTGAGTAACCCCTATTAAAACTTATCTTATCTAATTTTTTTTTTTTTTTGAATTTCCTAAAATAAGGTGAAGGATTTATACATTCTCATTGCTACCCACCCATTGTAGATGGGTAGGGCTTATACATGATAAATGAACTTAGATACCTAAATGCATTTATGAGATAATTTGCCAATGCAATTTATTAAGTGTGTGTTATCCCATCATATGTTGTTTAGCAATGAAATGTATCCATGCATTTATGTGATAATTTGTCTCTATGATTTTAAGTTGTGATAAGTTGATTATCTTTATACCAATACCAAATGATGATTTGTTTGCATACATGGTTGCATTAATCAACATGCCTACAACCCTACAACAAGCATGGGATATTTGTCATCCTCAACTGCTCTCCCTTGAGATTATATGTGAGCTAGGAGAATTATATATTATTGGTCAAAATTTTGATGAAATTATATATTATTGGTTAAAATTATTGGTCAGAATTACATACTGAGAATTATATATTATTGGTCAAAATTTCGCACTAACATAAAAGTGTCTGTCAGATTAGGACATTTTAAAACAGATAATATGATTAAAGAAGTATAATCATATAAAATGTTGTTAGATTCATCTCACTTTTTACTTTCATAACATTAATTTTTAATAAATTTGATATCATTAAATGTGTTAATAATCAAAATAATATATAGCATATTGAATTATCGACAATCATGATATAGAAGTGCTGCAGGTAAAGAAATACAAGGAAACATATGACATGATAAGGAAAAGAGAAATATAGGCCCAAACAAAATTAACATTATTTACAAAATGCCATGTTATACAATTCCCTTATGCATCACTGTAACGCAATAAGACTTCCCTGATTTTGACCCCCATTCAGCCATTCTGCATAATTTAAGTCGGCATAACATCCAAAAAAATTACAGCAAATTAACATACTACACAAGATATCAAAGACTTAAAATAGTAGTAACAAAATTTTCTAATAGTAGTATATCTGAAATATATTACAAAAATTAACCAGCCAACCACGGTCAACTGAATAGGCAAGGAAGCTGGTTTAGTTGCTATAAGAGATGAAGGTAATGGACAGACTTGTAATCCATTATCAAATAGTTGATAAAATTGTTCCAGAAAGCCATCTAGCTCCTGAATGAAAATTGCATCATCAAGCCACACTCGGTTTTTCCAAACTTGCCATATATGTCATATAAATAGTCCACAGATAAGAAAATGAATTGCTCGCTAGCGGCTGCAAAAACAACACTAAATTAGAAACAGATAAAAACACAGCCTTAGTGGTCATGAACTTGCTTAATGAATTGCTTGAATTACCCTCCCCTACTGCCCCTTAGCCCCCCGTTGATATTCTAGATAATAAAAGATAAAGCACTGATTAAAGAACACTTTAACATCCATCACAAACAAGCTAATGACTGTTACCTGTAAGTGAACAGGAACAAATCTGAATGTGATGAAATCACAAATTGGCCAATACATGACACCATTTAGCATTGTTGGAAGTAAATCCCGCTTCAATCTCGCAAAAATTTCCATGGAATCTTCACCTGAAATAATAGCGAGGGAGAATGTAAAGATAGTGAAGAGAGTCGTTCATATTCATCCCCAACACACTCAAAGAATCTGAGAGGAAATTTGTAATACAATAAAAACCAGCCAATCAATGCATATTTCCGTTGAATTCTCAGATAATTTCATCAAAGCAAAACTGTACAAGCATTAATTACCATGGAGCATACCCATTAAACACCAAAGACAAATACGGCAAGGATCACAACAAAGCACCAAACAAAAAGATAGGTAATTGACAATTTGTGCTTTAACTGATTTACTAGCTCCACAATCCAAATCTCTCCCTTTCACTATTACTTCAATTTTTTAATGCAGCAGAGTAAAATTTCCATAGTAAAAATGGCAAACTAAATTTGCAGAACGGAAATGACTTGAAAAGATAACCCTTCTCCAACAGTCCAACCTTTCCTCCAAATAGATAAGCTAGACACACAGTTGAAGCTGAAAAAGATTTTCCCCAGTCCATATATACATTCAGCAGCTATCCAGGTAATAGTCCCTCCAACATGACCAACAACATTTGTCCAAAGGCCTTTATTTAGCAACGTTTTTAGGCTTCACACAGATGTATACCTCCATAACCACTATAATGACAACAGTGGCTTCACAAGAATCAAAAAGTAGCTTTCTAATAATAATCAACAGCCCAGACAGCTTGAGATATGCATTTCCTCAAATTACAGCTAAGTGTTTGTTTTGCAAACAACAAACATGGAGAAAGTGAAATTCATAGGAATTAACACAGATTGGGTAGTTATATATTGACCAAAATGAGTAAATTGGAGGATGTGGAAATTTATGGCAAAACATGAGAATTAGTCAACAAAGCCCCCACCACAATCAATCATAATTGATGAGAATTTCAAATTCTCATGCTGTCAACCAAACAATATAAGGAAACTCCTAGAAATTTAATAAGAGAAATAATTACCCATGAAATCCATCCCATCAGAAATTGCATTTCATGGGAAGTTATTCCCTTACTAAATTACTAAGAACTTCTTAACTTACTTGGTTAACAACATGAGAACTTCAAAATTCCCATGTTGTCAACCAAACAAGTTGAGGAAACTCCTAGAAATTTAATTAGAGAAATAACAACCCGTGAAATACATCCCATAAGAATTGCATTTCATGGGAAGTTATTCCCTAACTAAATTACTAAGAACTTCTTTAACTTATATGGTTAACAACATGAGACTTTGAAATTCCCATGAATTTAGATGGACGAGGAAGGGATAAGTAATTTATTCCCCATGTTTTGTAGGAAATATTTGATAACCACTTGCTTCATTTTATTTTTTCTGTCAAGTGTCAACCACGCAGTTACCCAATCTATCAATTCCCATAAATTTTCATTGCTTCCATTTGCTGTTGTCAACCAAACAAGAACTATTTCATATGTTAGTATCATATTGTGGTCCTTTCTTAGACACAATGTTACTTGGACAAGAGTACAAATCAGATACAGGTGTCTGAAACAAATAATTTAGATAATTAGGATACGAACACTGCCCAAAATTCAGACACGTGATTGGAGATACAAGAATACAACCATTTATGAAAAATTTATACAAAAGTATTTAACATTTATATTCATGTATTTCATTTACATACTAATTCATACACAAGTTTGTGTTTCAGTGTCTGCAAAGTAACTTAGTAAGAACTAAGAAGCAGAAAAAAAGAGTTTGTTAGTAAAAAATATAGCTCAATAGGAAACCCAAAATAATGGTGACTGACCTCAAACCCAAGCAGTAAATGAGCTGCAGTCAGCCCAAAAAAAACAGAGATAATGCATGCAAAGAATGATCCATCAAAATAAATTAAAAAGAAAAAGAAAATAATCGAGCACATGCAACAAAGAAGACAACAAAAACTCCAGCCATCACAATCGGTTCCTCTCCCTGTCAGCCCCTCCAATATCTTTCTTCTTACAGTAACTTTCAACTTCAATTGTCAGCATAGGGACATTTCCACCAATTCTAGATCTGAAAACTTTCAACCTTATCGTGTTATTTGAAGTCTTGAAGACCAATTTTCACCCAGATATCCCCCCTTAGTCCTTTTCTTTGATTCATGGTTAGAACAGAAAACCATTTCTGAGTACAAAAGCCGCACCCACCGTGTGTTTTGTGCTTGGATCTGGGTTGGGTTGTATCAAAACCAATACTCTGGCAAATATCCCTTGTCCGAGTAACATAGCCTAGACTTCATTTCTGTGACTAATTTCATAAGGGGGTGTTTGGCAAGACATTTGGAATGGAGTAGAACCCATTTCAATGGTTTGTTAAACATTTTTTACCATGGTACCTCATATAATAAGTATCTAACTTCATTACAACCCCCTTCAATGGAGTTCAATCTCATACCCACCTTATCCCCTAAGTTTATAAATCCATTCCACTTTAGATACAAACCCTAACTAAATAAATATCTTTTAGTTTAAACCAAAAAAATTTGGCATGATGTTGGGTTCCCAATCTATACCACTTTGGTATGGGTTCCTAATCCATTCATTCTAGTTTTTTTTTGAATAATCCATTCATTCTAGTTTGCTGAACCAAACGACCCTAATTTAAAAGAGTAGTGATTGTGTTCTAACAAGTTACGCCAAACAGCTGAAAATATGTAGACAACTTAGTTATTAAAGAGGATATCATGCTGCAGCCTGCACAATTTGAAATTAATGCTTTGATTGTGTGCAGTAATGAGAAGGCCACATTAATTACTTTGACATGGGTATCAAATGAAGTATGTCAGTTAATGAACTTTCAAACTTAAAACTCATAGAATGCTCCAGCCACTGGCATGTCTTATCAACGTGGCAGAAGCATGAGTTGAAAACTTGAAACTCACTTGAAAGACCTAAAATATAGTTTATAACTAAGTAAACAACAAGCTGCATAGTGCATACACAAAAGCTAAACAAAAAAGTCTCAACTCTTTCATGCACCAATACTGCTATTCAAATTGACACTATTTGTTTATCTCCTTCAGCTGTTGCTACAGCAAAATGCCATCAGAACTATGTTTTAATCTTAACATATATACCCTAAGTAAGCATGTAGCTCCAGCCCATACTAATCATGCTGTCTCTACTGCAAGTTTCAAGCAATTATTGAGTAATAAGATTGGCAATTAAGCTAGTACTCTCCCCTATTTCTTGACCTGCATTGCTTGCATGAAAGTGCAAAATATTTGACAGCATCACACAGTTATATATTGTAAAATAGTGGGATTTAAAAATTCCCTACCTTGCAGAGCAGCATTCATCGAGAAGAAAGTAACGGTCATAGTTGGTCCATAAACTGTCTGCCCCAATACCATTTTCTTCACTGTTGTCAGTAAACCTGTTCCTGGAAGAATTCTTGACATAAAATTGAACCAATAATGCAACGTTGGACCTAAAATCACCCCTCCATATCCAGCCATGCGTAGCGTCCTAATCAAGTCATACGACTCAGAAGATTGCAATGCAATAGTCTGTCATAAACCAGTCACGCCATATTAATATATACATGCCATGATATGGAGTGCAATTCAATAAGAAAAGAATTAAGGAAATCAAGGATAGATTAACTTTCTAATTGACTCACGAAATACATAAGAATAGGATATCAAAAGGTAATAGACTGACGTGGGGTATTTGTAAGGAGATTCAAGTCATGATGATCATGACATTTTCTTTTCATATAGAATATATTTTTTATTCATGGTAAATGCATGTTTTCTTCCTTTTTCTTTATTTACAACTTTTTATTCGTAGATTCTAGAGACAAAAGATGTCAAGTGAGATATATTTCAGATATATCTTATAATTGTCCACAAAAATAAGATAAAGATATACTCCACCTGACATATCCAAGATGTATCAGGCAGATGTGTGTTGGTGGCCAATAAGTGCCAGATGCGAGACATGCCACTTACATAGTTTGTAATTGCAAACTAAGCTGGTAATCTACATAAAACCAAAGAATCATCTAAGAAATTGCAAGCCATATGAAATTTCCAAACAAAATAGCATTTTGTACAGTGTTTGCATTTCCTAACCTTAGTCATGTTCATAAGTATACTCTAAAACACCTTGGTGCACTTTGAGCCTTTTTATACAATGGTTCCATACTTATATTCCCTTTTAATCCACCCAAGAACCAACCCAGTCCACCAACTATCTTCATACCTTTCTTCGGCAAAGAAATTAGCACAAAATAAATCTTGACAAGCCATGTTAATACCATGGTACACACATGAACATGAATAAGGTTAAATTTCCCATCCTAACCCCGAAACAACTGTACATGACTTTATAAGATAACTAATCACCACCATTAGTTTGACCCCTTTTGTTTGACAAAAACCTAAGATGTTCTACAAGTTAATGCGCATCGATATCGTCCAAATTTATAAGCTCAATTGCCTCAATATTCCTTTCTCCGTGTCCAAGTATGCATATTCTAAAAAACAAAGCAAAGATAACCTATTTTTCCCAAGCAAATTAACTCTTTAACCCATGTTAGCTAAAATATTGTATCTCAGCTAACTTTAGTTAGGTGAATTCTTGAAGGTTGGTCGCCAAAACCTGGGATAGAAATCCCGTCTACATTATTGTCCATTACAACACTCAATACTCCAAATTCTCACAATTTCCTATAACAAGTTTCTAACTTCATAAAACCACTCATTTCCTAAAGTAATAATAATAATAGAATAAAAATCCCACTTTTTCAACAAACAACAGTCAAAATCTTTCATAGATTCTTTACTCTATAAAATAAAAACAATACCAAAAACTTCCCTAATTTATATCAAACCCCCATTAATTTTCTTTAGAAGTTGACATTTTTCCAATACAATAACAATCAAATTCATACCATTTTCTTCCCAGCATAATCCCAAATCAGGCATGTCACAATTCAAAAACTCAATCAACCAAAAAATATTAAAATTAAAGAAAATGAAAGTAATACCTGAGAAGTCAAATCAGCAGCAATGTAAATAAGAGAAGAAGTAACACTTTTAGTAAGAACAGGGCGAGACTTAATCAACCCTAAATACCACCCAACAAACCCAAACTTCGATAAAACCGACGATTTTGTCGACGTTGAAGAAGATACCGACGGCCTAAACAAAAATGGCGGCGCCGGAACCTCGACTTCTTTGACTGATTTTCTGAAAAAATTAGAGAATCTGGAGTAATACTTTACATTCTGCTGTTGTTGCAACAATTGTTTCAATTGATTATGATTATAATTATGACAAATTTGAGAACCAATTTGTTTGGAATTATTGTAGAAATTATTATGTTTGATTTGATTAGAGTAATAATGGCGGAAATTAGCACTACTTTGACTGCGTAATAAAGCAATCGCCATTTTTCTGCGAAAAAAAAGGGGGTTATTTGGTTGGTTAAGAAGGGTTTGGAGTTAGAAGGAATAATGAAGGTTTTTATTTTGGGTGGTTTTTGATTTTTTTTATTATAATGAATGAAGAGGAGGAAAGAAGGAAGGTGGGGCTAGTTTGTGGCAGAAAGGTGTGAGTTTATGTGGTGACGAAGGTTGGTTGATTGAGTTACAAGTGTGATTTGGGAAAAACGTAAGGGTTTTTGTTTAGGGGTTTGTCAGCATTTCCGGATTATTTGGAGTTGGACCGACCTTCATGTTATTTTTGATGGAAGTCTTCATACCAGCCATTTAAGACCTGTTCTGTTTTAGTTCCTATTTTTCTTCTCACATAAATAATTTAATTTAGTTTAATTTCTAACCAGATATAAGTCCGTGCGATGCACGGTTTTTAAATATTTCATTTTGTATATTTTTTTTGTAATTTCTTAATATTTTTTGTTTTTATTTTCTATTCTATTATTTTAACATTAATTTACGGTAAAATATTTTGTTAAGTTTTAAATTATTCTTATTTAAATTTTACGTATATAGAACTTGAATTTATAAATTGAAATAAATATTATCTCATTCATCGGATAGTTAGATAAAATCATTAAATCAAAATATATTTTTTAATTTCTAATTATTTGTTAAAATAATATAAATCCTAATGTAAAAGATAATATAAAAGATAATTTTTTTTTCAATTCTCAAATTTCATTTGTTAATTTTTTCTTAAATGGCGACTGGAAATTTAAATTCTAAATTAATATATAAATCTAATTTTTCATTGGTCGAAATATTACTTTTGCTTATGTGGCGTGCGATGCACGAATTTTTATATACATTTTGTATATAAATATTTTTTTGGTGATCTCCTAATTTTTTTCTTGCATTATAAGTTTTAAAATTTTGTATGAAAATATCATATCATTAGATAATTACATAATACCATTAACGTCAAATGATAATTTATATTTTTTAAATATCAAAATATATTTTTTAGTTTTTTAAATAATATAAATCCTAATATCTAAAGATAATTTTTAGTTTTGTAACAAATAAAAATGATAAAATTTAGTGTTCTTAAATAATTAAAATCTTAATAAATTACTATTCGTCGTTTTTACCTACGTGACAAAAATTTAAAATTTTATTCGTCACTTTTGTTTAGGTGGCGAGTGATTTTTTTAATTCTAAAATAAAATAGAAATCTATTTTTTAATTGGTCGAAAATATACCTTTTCTTATGTGGCGCTCCCAATGCTCTCCTAAAATGCCTACTTTATTTATATATATACTAGATGTAAGCCCGTGCGATGCACTGTTCTAATGAATCATTTTATTTAATTAAAAATTTTGTATATTTATGAAGATCATTCATTAAATATATGGATAAAATTCCTAATATCATAAGATAATTTTAATTTTAACACTAAAGTTATCTTTTGTTGTTTTATTTATTTTACGTGACACTTGAATTTAAAATTTCAAACCTTATTCACTAATTTGCTTATGTGACAATTTAAATTTTTAATTCAAAAAAGAAATGACAAATCTCATTTTTTATTGATCAAAATAAGTCTTTTGCCTATGCGTTTATTTAATATACTCGCTCTGTTTAAAATGTAAGTCTCATTTATAACTGGTTAACTATTAAAAATTATGGGAAATCAATCATATAAGATTTAGTTTTATTCGTCTTGATGAGTACATTATTAAAATCGAACTTTTATAATATTTGTTAGGGAGGGATTAAAGATACGTAGTATTTTCCATCAAAAAGTTTAGTTTTTTTATTTAAATTTTAATTATTCTCTATTAGTAAAACCAAACTTTTACAATATTTTCTAGAGAGAGATTAAAGACATTTGCGATTAAAAATTTGCATGTAAAAAAAGATAATTATTACTTTTTTTTTTAGAAAAGATAATTATTGGTTTTTTAAAAAGTAATTTAAATTTTAATTATTCAATACCTATGTGTCAAAATTCTTAAATCCTATTCGTCACTTTTGCTTAGGTGGCGAGTAAATTTTTTAATTCTAAAATAAATTATTAATCTAATTTTTCATTGGTCGAAATAATACCTTTTCTTATGTGGCGCGCCAAATGCTCTCGAAAAATGCCTACTTTATTTATATAATATATATTAGATTTACATCTCTTATAAACAATTCACTTCCACTCAACTCAGTTTAGTAAATCAGAACATGCCTTTAAAATGACTGAGGTTTAATTTCGTTCAGCTTAATTTCACGTCAGTTTAGTTCAATTCCTAATTTCTTCTCTCAAAAATAATTCATTTCAACTCTATTCAACTTAGCTGTTTTCAATAAATCGAAACATGCCCTAAGTCTTGTATACAACGGGTGTATGTTACTTTGTTATATAACGAGTTAAAATTGTGTTAAAAATACTTAAAATTACCCTTTATATTACAAAAGTTATTTATTTTTAATAAATTTTAGGAAATTTTGAATTTTAACACTACAAAATAACTAAAAAAAAGTTTTTAACACTACCAAAATTTTTTTAAAAAAATAAACTTATATTTTAACACCACAAAAAAAAAACCAAAAAATGGATTTTACCACCACTTAATTGATTCATGGATGAAATTCATTAGTAGGACCTACAATGCCACGTGTCAGCATATAATTGGTCCAAAACATTTAAAAAAACAAAAACCTTAAAACTACCCCAGTGATGAGTACCTTATTAAAGTTATGTAATTATGTATCTATAAGAAATTACACATTATTAAAGTTACCCTTTAAGTTTGGTTACTGTAGACACCTGATCGTGTCCCCCTAAAAACCAGACCCAGTGATGAGTACCTTTCACGTCATTTATTATCAAACAAGGTGAAATGTGAAAGAGTCTCGTGATTTCTCTGTTTTTAATAAAAATAGTTCTTTCTGTTTTCGAAAATCTTTCTTTTCGTATCCTGTTTATAAAAAATGTCCAATCCAGTTTAGTTTGGTACATGAAATGGGTGTAGGGATTTAGATACTCTAATCGGAATTTCATGAATCATATTCATAAGCATCAAATAACCCAGATCAATGCATAACACATAAAAACAAGTAATTATACCTTTGAATCATGATTCCACGTATGAGCGAGCAAGAACAAGGGAGACAAAGGACCTCAAGTGCGATTTCTCTACTTGGTCCACGAGCACGGATCAAACATCCACTAATGCTAGTTAGTTGCAATTGAACCCTTCAATTGACCTTCTACGAGAAGAGAGAGCAACAAACCAACCACGAACCACCATGAGCCACCACACGAACCACCACGAGGGGCCGGCCGTACGGACAAGGGGAGGAGAGAGAGAGAGAGTCGTGAGTGAGAGAGAGAAGATTAGGGTTTTGGGACTTGGTTGCTTGAACTACAATTAACTGACTGTCAATCGTTATCTCAATCTAAGTCATGGATCTTATTGATAGATCAAATCTCTAAATAAGAGTCCATGTCAAGCCCAAATTCCTATTCCTAATAAAATTATTCTAGCCCAACACTCTATATGGTTTGTCATATTCTCATGAGGCCCATTAAGGGGCCTCGAACTTGTTTAACTCAATACTCTTGTTGTGTGACTTCATAGGATCCATTCTAAAGGGCTTTGGGCTATTTGACTAGCCCAAAGATCATTTATCATAATCTAGAAATAGACAATGACGATCGAAAACAACGAACTTATTATCTCCATAATTAGTGATCCTTGATATATCCAGTAATTGCACTTATTGAAGACATAACTCCTTCAATCTCCCACTTGTCTGAGAGAAGTGCGCAATATTCAAGTTCCTTAAGTCAATGTGTATCAATTTGATAATATGATTGCATCTCATGTCGTGATCATATTAATCTACAAATCTTTTCTTGAAATCCGAGTTAGAATTACAAGACAAATGATTACTATGTAATCCATTTGAGCACGACCATGCATTTTCTTAATTCTCCCTCTTCAAGGGGCCAAGACACATTCCTAGTTAAATAGGTAGACTCAATCCAATCTTGTGGCAACCAAAGCTCCCACTCAACTCTTGAATCAACCGGGAAACATCCTATATAATCTCCAGTTACGGGAAGACGTTTGAATGTACCACAGTCAAATAAATTATTAAATAGAATCAGTGTTCAACTCATGTCAAAAGGAATCCACTAATATATCCGGAAGCTCTATACTTGAACTTCAAAATAGGTCTATAGTTCGATCATGCATCATACATGCATATCCATGTGATTGACCGAGCTTCACTACGCTCCTATAGCCCATGAAACTGCGCTATCCAATCAATCTTACATGCTAGTCCTTATATTGAAATCATTTATGTGCACTTTAATGATTTCGAACTAGGAACTTAAATAATATGTGGATTTTGTTCACTTGTGGGGTTTCATTCACCAGGTCATCAACCTTATGAGTCCATCAATCCATAATTATTTTGGACATTTTATTTAATATCAAAACCATAATTAAATAAGAGAAATAATGAATTTATAATTAAACATAATTCTGCAAATGAATGTATTACATATGTAATAAGTTTTTTTTTCAAAAACTAATACAACTTAAATTACATCATTAGCCTCAATCTAGTTGCACTAGCATGTTTCTCATGCTTAGGCAATGGAAGGGGTTTAGTAAGAGGATCAACGATATTCTCGTCCGTATGAATTTTGCACATCTTGACATCTCCTCTGCCAACGATCTCTCAAATAAGGTGATATTTCCTCTCAACACGTTTGGATTTGAAGTGTGACATTGGCTCCTTTGATTGAGCAATGGTGCCATTGTTGTCACAATGCAACTCGATTCCTTTCTGAGAACTTGGTACAATATCCAACTCAGTTAGGAATTTCTTTATCCAAACAACCTCCTTTGCTGCTTCAACTGCAGCCAAATACTCTGATTCTGTTGTATAGTCTGCGACAGTGCTTTGCTTCGAACTCTTCCAGCTCACTGCTCCTCCATTCAGACAGAAAATGTACCCAGATTGAAATCTGAAATCATCTATGTCTGTTTGGAAACTCACATCCGTATAGCCTTTGATAACCAATTCATCTTCGCCGCCATATACTAGTGTAGACACCCAAATGTGTCTCCCCAAAACCAAACCCAGTGATGAATACCTTTCACGACATTTTGATTATCGAACGAAGTGAAAGTGTGGAAAGTCTAATGATGAGGATTTTTTATTAAAATATTTCTCTTTCTATTTTCTAAAATATTTCTTTTCTTACTCCTGTTTATGAAAAATAGCCAGTCTAATTTGGTTTTGTCCATAATAAAGGTCCGATAAGGGTGTAGTTGGATTGGGCTCGAAAAGAGCTTTCCAATGATATATTATATATAGGCCCAATTCCGATGACTATGAGGAA